AAGCATTGTGGTATGTGCCTATAATCCAGGTGACTCCACTCAGGAGGTTGATGCAGGAGGATCAAAAGTTCAAGACCAGCCTGGGCAACTTAGCAAGAACCTGTCTGAAAATAAAAATAAAAAAGGGCTGGGGATGTAACTCAGTGGTAGAGCACCCTTGGGTTTAATCCCCAGTACCACCAATAGTAATAGTAATAATAATAATAATAATAATAATAATAATAATAAAGCAGATTATATGTGCCTTTCTTCCTTCTCAAGGTGATGAGGCACCCGGATCACGTGTCCTCCAGTGTCTATCTGTGGGCTCATCATGAGAAGCTTGTCATCATCGACCAATCGGTAGCCTTTGTGGGCGGGATTGACCTGGCCTATGGAAGGTGGGATGACAATGAGCACAGACTCACAGATGTGGGCAGCGTGAAGCGAATCACTTCGGGACAATCTCTTGGTTCTCTCACGGTAAGTGAATCTCTTCCTTGTGGGGCTGCATAAAGTGAACATGATTTGGGTAAGTACGTATTAATAGCATGACTGATGGATCGAATGAGAGGTGACATCTTCCTGTGCGGGTGAAGAATACTGAGAAAAACATCAGACATGTCTTCATACATTAGCCTTTATGTTGCTAACAGGTACCTCAGCACCTCTCGGGCTCTGTTTCTTCTCTTGTAAGAAGAGAAAACAGATTAAATAGAATGTTTGCCATCTCAGTCTTGGCTCCTTGGTTTTCTATTTAAATTAAAAATGTATTCCCTATTTGGGGAAAAAAGTTCATAAAAACAAATGTATTTCAATTAAGATTTAGTTTTGATAATAAGAAATCTTTTCAAAAGTATCTTAGTACTTAGCCAAGAATTTTAGAATTTTCCCACTTAAAGACACACAAAAACACAATAGGTCAATCTGGGTTCCTTTGGAGGAAATTCTGTTGGAGCAGAAAGTTTAATAACTTCTCAAAGTACCTGTTAAATCAGGAACCATGTCTGTATGTTTATGTCTATCTGCTTCCTCTTTCAACTCAATGGCTACTGAAATATCAAAGCACTTATTAAATTTTTTGATGGGCTTCATCTTATTTACTGCTGGTGATATTGCCAGCTTTTCTGGCATAATGGCAAGTAATGGAAAAATGATTGACAGAAAAACTTCAGAGGAAGTTTTAGATATAACATTTTAGATATAACATATCTAATTGTACTTGAGATGAAAAGATTAATTGGAATGAAATTTCAAGAATTTGGCCTGCTGATGGAGGAATCACAGTGGAACTCCTGTATTCGTTTGGTGGCCCTTTAATTCAAGCAGAGCTGATGAGAATTCCCCTCCACCCTGTGGCTGACCTCAGACTTCACACAGAGGGTCCGTTCTGGGGTCGCCACCATTGTAAACTGTACTCCTCAGCTCTGCTTAATTAAAGGGCCACTATTGCAGCATATCTTATGCAGTCTTTTTTTTTTTTCTTCAAATAATTTCCTCAGGCTGCAACAACAGAGTCTATGGAATCTTTAAGCCTCAAAAATAAAAATGAATCTAATAAAAATGTGCCCATCCTGAAGAATGTTGATGATATGGATTCGAAACTGAAAGGAATAGGAAAGCCAAGAAAGTTCTCCAAATTTAGCCTCTACAGGCAGCTCCACAAGCATCAGCTGCACAACGTGGACAGCGTCAGCAGCATTGACAGCGCCTCCAGTGAGTCACAGTCTTTTCTAGAAATTGTCCCAACTACATGTGTTCCTATAGCCAGTTAGTACATACCTGTCTTTAAAACCTGCCTTTGGATAACGGAGTAAGATGAACAGGGTTGCTGTATCATCCTGTTCAACAACATACCATCCCCCGTGGCTTTATTTTGCTCCTTTTAGAACAGATTTATTGTTTTATCCATACAGTGTCATTATAACAACCACTGTTCCTGCTTTTTATGGCAGCAGAATGACCAAGGGTTTCTAAAAATATGCCAAAGTATCAAGGAAAAAGAAAAATATTAGATGTACTTTATAAAATTCTCCTAGAAGAAATTCATTTCTTTTCCCATCCAGAAATACTTTAGGCTTATATCATCAAACGCCATCATATTCTGTATCTTGTAAATGTACTGTTCTTTGCAGGTCTGTCTTAAAATCCTTGCAATTTTTGGTTGCACATAATCTTTTTTTATATCTTTTATTTTTTTAATTTGTTTTAATTAGTTACACATGATAGTACAATGATCTTGACATATCATACATTTGAGTCAGATGGGGTATAATTTCTCATTTTTCTCAGTGTACAGGTTGCAGAATCACATTGGTCATGCAGTCACATATATACCCACAGCAATAATAATGTCTACTTTATTCTGCTGTCCTTCCTATCTCCCCTTCCCCTCCCCTCCCCTCCCATCATTTCTCTCTACCCAATCTAAAGTGACACACTTCTTTTTTTTTCTCTCTCACATCGTCAAACATGTATTCTGTATAACGATGAGGGTCTCCTTCCATCTTCTGTGCAATTCCCCTTCTCCCTCCCTTTCCCTCCCACCTCTCTTTCCCTATTTAGTAGTAATCTTCTTCTCATGCTCTTCCTCCCTACCCCATTTTGAGTCACCCCCCACCCCCATATCAGAGAAGACATTCGGCCTTTATGTTTTAGGGATTGGCTAACTTCACGTAGAATAATCTGCTCTAATGCCATCCATTTCCCTGCAAATGCCATGATCTTATTATTTTTTAGTACTGAGTACAGAGTCTTATGACTGATTTTATAGCCCAGCTAGTTTTAAAATGATTAAACTTGCTTTCCAGTTTAGAAAACTTGATATAGATATATTTCTTTGTAAAAAAAAAAAGAACTCTCAACTTTCTCCAGGTTATCTTAATCACTATAGAAGTCATCAGAATTTAATCCATGGTTTAAAACCCCACTTGAAACTCTTTCGCCCTTCGTGTGGGTCTGAGCAGGGGCTCACTGGGCCCAGCGACGGTAAGTGATGTGTGCGTGGCCGAATCCCTTCAGGCTTCAGCTTCCATTTCATCGTCTGCTGCACAGGCGTAGTGAGTGTGTTTCCACATTGGCTTTCTGTGCACACAGTTTTCACGTCACAAATATTGTGGAGCGCTTTCTCCGTGCAAAGCACAATGTCCCTACTCCCCAAGAGCCTGCACTTCAGTAGAGAAGATGAAACACATCTAATAACCAGACAGCACACAGCTTATGCAGTTCAGTAGTGTCATATGGTTCTGTGGAAGGTGGAGGGGCTTCTTTTTTCATGATCTCAAAAGGCTTTTTGAGCAGGACACTTGCAAATTAGGTCTGGAAGTGATTTGGTGAAGTTGGGTGAAGACAGGAAGACACTGCAGGTGAAAGAAAGGAGCTGAGCAAAGGTGCTAGGTTGGGAGATGGCCCACATCTTAGTTGTTAGTGGAAAACACACCATGAGGCTGTGATGTGGTTTTCTATGTAAGAGTAGAAAGATATACACGATCACATGTGGAGGCTCAAACAAAGTTAGGGAGTTTGAACTTTGGTTAAAATTTAAAGAGACCTCATGCTCTACATGCGAATGTTTAGAAACTGATACCTGATAACCTTTTTTGAGAAGAATCAGACACTTAGGGATTGAATTAACCAGGATCTGCCTAAATTATGGTGGTGGAAATGAAGAAGGATCTGGCCCCTGCTCTAATAGAGGGATAAGTACTCATCATGATAAATGACAGCAGTAGTAAAATCATCAGCTAGCTTTTAATGTATTCAAACTCTGCCTATCACTGCCCCATTGCTCTCAGTGCTAGGTAGTGATATTGTTTCTCCTTTTTACATGTGAGAAAAACTCAGAGATGATAGGCAACTTCCCAACCAAGTCTTCATGTATTACCTTCCCACTGCTCTGGATTCTGATTTGTGATTTAGCAGCAAGGCAGATTACCACATCACGACCTTTTGACCAGAATCCCAAGGCCAAAGTTCGCCTGTGCTGTTTTAGGAGATGAGGGACTTGAAGTCAGCCAACATGCCTGGATGTGAGTCACTGATAGTTAGCAAGAACTGCTGAATCGGATAAATGAAGCTGGATCTTGAGCAGTGGTTCCCAGCAGTCTTTAGTTTGGGGACCCTGCATTTTAAAAAATATATTGACTAACCATGTGGAATAGACTAAAGCTCTGATGTAGCTAGGAATTAAATTTGTATTTTTAAAATCATATAGACATTGATATACACTTAAAAATGGAAAACATGAGATGTTTATTTAGCATATGATTAGCACCTGATGCACGTGTAGATTCAGGGACAACAACTAGAAGTTCCTGTACTTGACAGAATTTGAAAGTCCTGACAACTGGGGAGCCTCTGAAAAGTCCAGCTGGCTGAGTCAGGGGGGAGTGAAGCTTCAGGTGTTAAAGGTACAGAGTTGGGAACAGGTGCAGGGAGTGCCTTGGACCTCCAGTGTGCAACTGTTTTAGAAATGAAGTTAAAAAGTGAGATGGAGGGATAAAGTTGCTGAGCTACAAAAAGTCTGACTTAAGACTGTTAATATTGCTGACAAGAGACTCAGGAGCAAGTGGGGAAGATACGAGTATCGCTAAGAGGATCGAGTGACTCAAGCCAACCCCAGGCTGAGGGCATCCTACCGACACGGGTGGTCTGAGGACATGGATGTGTTTGGTTTTCTGCCCTTGATGGAAAATGTCCTTGGCATCCATTCACAGTCCCCTCACTAATAAATGGGATGCACATCTAGAGCAGCATTCTAAATTAAGAGAAAGTAAACAACACAACTATCAGAAGAGGGGAATGATGAAGAACATAGTGAGGGGCTCATCCCCTTGAGGGAGGTGTGCATCCATTCAAATATTAAATGAGGATGCATAAACTAATGGAGAAAATTTGTTTATTTAAGTACATATTGAGATACTGGTACTAGGGATGTAGGGAAGAGAGCAAATAAAATGAAGTTAACTAGTTGAGAAAGGATGTGGATTGTATAAACAAATAGATCATCAAACACAACGCATTAGAAGGGTGGTGGTCATCAAGGAGAACAACAGAGAAGGGTAGGTGGTAGGGGGAACAGAGGGAGGAGTTATTATCATATATACGGTAGCAGAGAATGCTGCTCTAATGAGGTGAGTTCGAAATGAAGATCAGAAGGGAGAGAAGAATGAGGATAAGAGACAGGGAGGGAGGTGTCCCAAACAGGATGAATAACAAGTGCAAAGGCCCTGAGACAGAAGGGGGATCGGTATGTTCTAGGAACGTTGCTATGGTGGGGTGGATTGGAGGAGAATGTTAGGAAGAGTCAGAGAGGTGTGCGATTGGGTGGATTATGAGCCATCTCGCAGGCTGCTGTGAGAATTCTGCCTCCAGAGAAAGTTACCAGCTAGTCTTGAATAAAGGCAGATGAAATCTGACTTAGGTCTTTATGGGCACATTCTTCAGAGCAGATCAGGTGGAAAATAGTTCCAGAGAAGGTACTGAATATATCTTGAGAATAGAGCTGACAGCATTTGACAATGCCCTGGATATGGGTATGAGGGCTGGAAAAGACTCCAAGTCCTTGGAGCCACCAGAAAGGTGGAGTTTCCGTGAAGTGAGTGAGAGCATGGAATGATGGAGAGCTTGAGGATGACTCCCACTATGTCAAAATATGCACCTGAAAGAGGTTGACTAAGGACATTAAAGGCCCCTAACTTTATTAAGAAGATGGAACTTAAGGTTCCATTTTTCTCTTTTTTACATTGCTGGCCTTATTTTCATATTGCTTTCAGAGTCAAACATATATACAAATTTAACTTTTAATAATGAGAAAAATCAACTCAGTTAAAAAGAAAAGGTTAGTTGAGTCTTCCCAGAACAGTGCTTCCAAAACTGTGAACGCCCCTGATCCCTCTGTTGGTCCATGCTTTAGTCAAAATCGTCCCACCTGTATCTCTTTATGTGTGGGAGTTCTTCACAAATTTGACTGGAAAATAAAAGTGAGGGTCCACAAAAAATAATGAAGGAAACATTTAAACACAATTTAGATTTAAATCGTGCAATGACATAAACTCATGTTTTCTTATAGGACTTGAAACTCAAATTAAGCATGAAGTGACTCTTATTAGAAATTTAAAACTGCAGATGAGCTTGAATTAGGGATTTCCATTTCCTGAGAGTGCTGAGCATGGTTAGCCTCTCTGTAGTGTCAGTTTCCCTTGACTACAAAAAACTTTGTTGAGGCAGGCTCTTAATAAGCCTCCCTAGTGTTATATGGAATGCGGCTGTAAGGTCACCATGCTCACTATGAGATTTTAAACAGAAAAAAATTGCAATAAAATCAGTTCATTCTAAATGTGGTTAATAACCACAATGTATTTCTATCGTGTATATTTTTGTTTTTATTCAAAATCACTCAGCCATCTTCAAGAACTTTTTTCTTTCAGAATTATGTTGTCAGAGGGAGAATTTCAGATTGACGTTGCTTTCCGTGATACTATGTATTTTTAAAGGGGTTGATTTTATACTTGTTACATTCAGAAACTGCTTGATGAGTTTTCCTTGTAAACAATATTAAATATATAAGCGAGAGGGGAAATTGCAATTTAGTTGAAACAGGTTTTTCAAATCAAATATCTAAGCAGTGGTATGATGAATGGTAAGTTAACTCATTTCAAAACTATGTTCTCTGGGGTGCAGCCTCCAGGATATATGGAGTCATTTTTGTGCTGTCAAAGAGCTTATTATCTAATATTGAGCATGGTTTTAAATATTTGACCTCCTGGTACTTAGTAATTCATCTAGCAGGAGTCATTCACAAAGCCTCTTCACCCATTTAATACACCCATTTAATAGTAATTCATCTAGCAGGAGTCATTCACAAAGCCTCTTCACCCATTTAATACAGGTCCAGTAATCCTTATCCATAATTCCAAAACCCAAAATGCTTTCAAACACCACAGCTTTTGTTTAATATACATACTGAGGAACCTATATTGGAACTGGTTGAGGATCTAGGTAGAAATTCAGTAGATGAGAGACCAAAAAGGAAGAAGAAAACAGGCATTTCAGGCAAATTGTATATCTTAAGACCCAGACATGGGAAATACCAGAGGTATTTGTTTCAACACCCCAGACCTCAGTTGTGAAGCATAGTGAATACAGTCTCTTATATAAAATTCTTGGCATCAGCTATGCTTCGGAAATCAGGATGTTCTGAGTTTTAGAAAAGTAATATGATAAGTATACCCTATATCATGTTACCCTTGCAGCAGGGTCGTGGGAATACCTGGAATGTAAGCAAAACATTTATATTTGTACAACACCAAGTGGGATCAATAAAGATAATAAATAATTTCTTGTCAGTTCAGGTTGAGTTTGGCTAACAAATAAGCTATGGGAAAAACATATGGATTTTCAGCGCTTGGAGGATTTGCGATTTGTTCTAAGGATTAATTTGTATAGATTGGGCTGGTGGGGTCTGTCTTCACCAGATTATGAAGGGCCTTGAAAGTCGGGCTGAGACAGTGTCCCTCATCCACTAAATTCTGGAGAAGCCCCATGGGAGAGAGTTTAAGGGCAAAGTTTTATGAAGGTTACACAAGAGACGAAGGGAGTCCAAATAGGTTCTGCTAGGGGCCCCAAGATGGAAGGGGATGGGATAAACTTTTTCCAAAAGAAGAATCGGCAAAATTCTGATCTGATTTGGGAAGTGGTGGTGGGAAGGGGGGGATGGAAAAGACAGTAAATAGAGGAGCAGAGGCGATTGTGAAGTTTGAGCCTAAGTTGCTCTGAACAGAAAGCAGAAACCCCTGAGACGACTTGATACTGTGGGGAGGCTCATGACTTTAGTGTTAGATGTGATTGTCAAGTTCTTGCGGGACAGCTAGGTAAATAGTGTTCCATGACTATATATCTGGTATTCAAAAAGGAACCAGGCCTAGAGGTATACATTTAGGAATCATATGGAAGAAAACGGGAGACACACGGGGAACCATCTTAGTAACAGCATCTAGGAAAGAAGATGGGGAGGGGTAGGCTGGATAAATGGAGGCTGGACCCTTGGAAGACGAGATGAGGAAACAAAGGAGGAGGCTATGATAAGGCCTGAAGACACTGGACAGAAGCAGGAGGACACCTTCGTCCTAAACTTTAGCAGCTAGAATATGGGCTGCCAAAGGAGGAAGTTGTGGGAAATTGAGATGGTGAACCCAAAGGTAGAGCAGATGCCATCATGAAGTCATTTGGGAGCCAGATCCAGCCTCATGAGTGCCCCTCAGATCAGGGTTGCAGATGCCAGAAGTTCTCTGCTCACAAAAGCCCATGCAACTCTGAGCAGTCAGCATAGTAACTAGTGAGTATTTGGTTCTGTTGCCTTAATAGTTCATTTATTCTGAGGAGGACCCTCATTTATCCGGAATAAATAAAGTTTAGGCCTTGGCTATAAGCAAAACCAAATTTGAATAATGAGCAAAAATAATTTTCTGAGACCAGAAATTTGCTTTGTTTTGTTTTCCTTATCATAGCCAGTTGTTAGGTGAAATAAATTTTTAAACAATTATATGGATATCTACCCAAAAACCTTATCTTAATTTCCTAATTGATGAAAACAAATTATACATACACACATGTATGAATAAATGTGGAATTTGACCCATTATTTAATCTAATTTTTTTGTACATGCCCTATTTTTCTATTTCCTCTTTTATTTTTCTTTTAACAATGCACCATGCTTACTGTAAAGAGCCTACAGGTGAGCAAAATAGACTTACTAGTCTTCTACCCTCTCTACCTTATACAGCCGGAAAATAAATCACTAGGAGAAGTCAATAGAGTTTTTCTTTTAATAGTGAATATTTTTATTTACTTTTGCCATTGAAGACACTTTTCTTTCATAAAAAGATTCAGTGACCTTTGGAAGGTTAATTACTCAGTTTGAGATAGAATATTAGTTGTATGTACTGATTGCACAAAAATACTTAGTTTTTGCAAATATTTACTGATGCCCTCCTAGATGTCACGATTTGCACCCAGCAGTGAGAGGACATTTCCCCACTCCTCATTTGCCCATGAGGAGTTTATAGACTGGCAGCAGGGGCAGAGGCAAGAGGAGCATCCCTATATAATCACATGAAAGAGTAAGAGGTTTTCTGGGTGCAATTTCCAATGGAATGACAATGCCAGTGACTACATCTCCCTTTGGGATCTGGGAGGTCTTCTCAGGCAGAGACAGCTAATGTGGTTAGGAGATCAGGCCAAGGAAAGGGAAGAGAATTCCAGACAGAAGAAGTAAAGTACCAAGTGAGGAGGCAGGACAGACAAGGCCTGTCACAAAAATACAGCAAAAAATGTGTTCTAGTGGTCCTGGGGTTGGGCGGGAGGAAAACAAGGACAAGAAAGTCAGAATAGCCCTAGTTTGGGAAGAGCTTTCTATGCACACCAAGTCCTTAGGACTTGACCCTCCTATAGATAGTAGGTGACAGTAGTTTTAAAGCCATGAGTTTGCACCTAACTAAGACAGTTGAGACAGTGTGAAGGTGGAGGTGGTGCTAAGATGACCCGTCTAGACCTCTCACTGGCTACTTGAAGGAGTAATCATTTATTAGTTCCACAAATATTTTCCCATGCTACATCTGTCCAGTGCCTCTTTTGTGCCAAGTGCTGCATTTGTAATCTGGAGTCTGCTCTCTTCATGCTTCATTGTCTTTACGGTCAACATTTTCCCTTCACTTACAAGCTATTTAACTCAAAGCATTTAACTTAAGTGAAGTGGCCTCATAGAGCTCTTTGTGACATGCTACAGTAGATTGCTGCTTGTGTGCCTCTGTGACAAGCATCTGTCTGTTTGTGGTTATGTTTTTTACAGATGCCTTTCGTGATTGTAAGACTATAGAAAGTTAGAGACCAAAAGGTCTTAATTGTCATATGGGCCAAATTCTTCTTTTTTTTACACATAAGGATTTCTGACCCAAAGAGGTGAAGCTCGATATCAATTTTAGTTAATTCCAGGACTGGAACGTGGGCTGTCTGTATATAAGAGGTTCTTGATTTTTAAATGCAAAAGACAAGAATTACACATAAGGTTTGCATCATGCAGGTGAGGAAGGAGAAATGGCCTGGCTTATTTATTTCCTTCATGTCTCATGGTTCTCCATCCTCACCTGGTTTTATTGCTCTCTGGTAGTCCCTCCTTGCTAGTTCTTTATTCACCGTTGGCTCTGTGATTGGTTCTTGCAGTGATCTGGTAGACAGTGAGAATAAGCTGCTCAGTGCCTGAGAATGTTACATTTCATTGGCTGATGATGAGCCTGATTATGGTCCCAACAACCCACTAACAATAAACTTGCAAGTGTTGTAAAACCTCTTCAGCCCACAGCTTCTAAACAAATGGACACATGTTGCCCTAGTTATGAGTCTCAAGAAAAAAGTTAGGGCATGCAGGTGTTTAATAAGTGAGAGGTGAGACCCCCCCTCTCTGGGGGCCCAGCTGACCCACAGCCTCTGGGGTGGGATTCCCTGCATTCACAGACACTGGCTCCATCCGCAGTTTGCAGACAGGCGTGGGAGAGCTCCATGGGGAGACCAGATTCTGGCACGGGAAGGACTACTGCAATTTTGTCTTCAAAGACTGGGTTCAACTTGATAAGCCTTTTGCTGGTGAGTACATGATATGAGGTGTGGATTATATTTTGTTATATTTGAGCATCTCAGCAAGTATCCACAGGCATGGTCTAAGTGTCTTTTGTTTTGCTTTGTTTATTTTTGAAATTTTGGCAAAACTGAAGGCATGCTTTAGTCATCTACTTAAGGACTGTTTTTTGTAGTTTCAAAAAGAAAATAACATAAAATGGAACTGACCTATCTGAAACCTCCAGGTTTCCTATAGGCATATTTTGGGGGTAATGATCTATAATTCTTCTAAGAGATGGTAGCCTTCCTTTGATCATCTTTTTTTTATGCATAGTCTCTCCATTTTCCATCATTAGAATGGCATATTTTCAGACTATCACTGAAATATTAACATATTTCCTTTTATAAATTGGAGTTGGGGTCAGAGGGTTTCTGTCCCCCCATATGGAAGTTCATGACGGATCCTTGCCCGGTATACCTGGGTAGATTTCATTGACAGGTACTCCACTCCCCGGATGCCCTGGCATGATATCGCCTCTGCGGTCCACGGGAAGGCTGCTCGTGATGTGGCACGTCACTTCATCCAGCGCTGGAACTTCACGAAGGTACTGCCTATTGTTGTCATGACTCAATCTGCATGAAGAGAGCCAATACTAGCTGGAGGAAAAACCCAAAGGGCTGGCCAGAAGGGGTTGCTGCAGCCACAGCTATAATTATAATCTGCAGTTGGATACATCATTGACAGAGTAGCTGAACCTCTTGCATTAAAAAAAAAAAAAGAAAAATGCTCCTGAACTTTAACACAGACAATTCAGAGAGCAGGGGGATAGATGCTGCTAGAGAAGCCTATGACTTTAACCTTTTTAACATCTTGGACTCTCAGTATTGATTAAGCATTTATTGGGCTGGGCCCAGTAGTCATGTGGAGGGCTGTTGTAGGTAGGAGAAGAGTCTCTTTTAGACAAGAGGGCTCAAACTGGAAAGCCCTTCCAGTCCTGGCATTGCGCTGAGTTCCTACTGGTACAGGATTCTGAGAGCCAGCTCTGAGCAAGGCAAGCAGAGTGACATGGATGGACCATTTTCCTCTCTTGGTGGGCCTTTGTTGCTGGTAAGGACTGGCCCTAAATTCTTAAGTTCAGAACATATCATACAGGGTTGTTAGGATCCACCTTATTTACTCAAAATGATAAGGGGCATTATTCTCCCCCAAGAGTTTGGAAAACAATTTAGAGTCACTTTTTTTTCTCATTCATATATATATATATATAAACTCCATTAGAACTTTTGTGGAAGTTCTAATGGAAATATTTTAAGCAAATTTAGAGGGAGGGCTGGGGTTGTAACTCATTGGGGGAGCGCCTGCTTAGCACATGTGAGGCATTGGGTTCTGTCCTCAGCACCACAAATAAGTAAATGAATAAATGTACTGTGTCCATCTACAACTAAAAAAAATTTTTTTTAAATATTTCTTTTAAAAATAAATTAGAAATTTAGAGAGAATGGATGAATTAATGAAGTGATATTACTTTTAAGCTACTGTATTGAAGATTAAAAACATTGCTAATACTTACAGTGTGGGGGTTTTGTTTGTTTGTTTGTTTGTTCCTACATTGGTAATACACTAATAAGTCTTTTTGTTTAAAAGTATGCATTTTTAAACCTAAAAAGTGATTTTCAGTTACTTAAGCTAAAGAAGTAATCTAGGAAGGTAATTTATTTTGAGACTGCTTCTAGTACCAAATAAAATTAGAGATTGATAAAATGCTCATTAATAGGAATTTATTATACAAATTATGATTCTTCTTACTATTTTATGAAGCATATTGAAGATGACAGTGCTATATTGTTCCAGCAAGATATTTACAACAGTAAAAATTATTTATAAAGTAATAATAATGCCATTTTAAAATTGTATAATACTCTGTAAGTATAGATTACATTTATTCTTTCTTTACAAAAGTAATATAATGCATGATTGCTACAAAAGATAAAAGAAGGAAATATAGAAAATAGAAAACAAAAATAAATAATTTCCAGTCTTAGAAATGTCCACTAATATTTCTTCTCTTGAACTTTGTGTGTTTATGCTGTGCTGGGGATTAAACCCAGGGCCTCTTGTTATAGTAGGCAAGCACTCTACCACTGAGCTACATCCTCAGCCATTTTTTCTTTTTTCAAATGAACCTGAATTTCTTTCATAATTATAAACTAGGGAAGAATGAACTTCTTTTGTCATGTGACTCTTTTTAAAAAAAATCTGCTTTACTTTATTTTAGATTATGAAACCAAAGTATCGGTCTCTTTCTTATCCCTTCCTGCTTCCAAAGTCTCAAACCACAGCCCATGAGCTGAGATATCAGGTACCTGGGGCCGTCCATGCTCATGTGCAGGTAAGCCTGGTTTTACTTTTTTGGCAAAATACACTGATTAACGTTAGTATTACTGGACTAAGTGACTATTACAGTGCCTTCTGAGTTTTCAATAAGGATAATTTATCCAAAGCAAATCTGAATGGTCCTTTTAATATTCGGAATTATATTTCCTGTATTAAATACATTCAATTCACCCTCATTATAAAACTCATTTATACATATAATAAATATGTGTCTTCAGAAAAGGCCACAATCAAGGAATGACTGTCCTCGTAATTCCTTCTGAAATGATCCCAGTAACATGATACACAGTATAAACCTGGGGCTGATATTGCCCGAGCACCAGGAGCTTGGCTGAAACTTAACATCCAGGAAGCTAGTTATTATACTCCAATCTAATTTTAGTACTCAATTAACCAAATGCCATTTGGAGGCTCTTTTAATGGAATAAGGAATTTCCTTAATAAAGTCACAAAATTTTATTAAATCCCGTCCAGCCATCTCAAGTTACAAATAAGAAAATTCAAACCCAGTGGAGCTCTGAGGCATGTCCAGAGCCAACGGAGTTAGGGTGGAGCTTGAAATCTTAGTCTGGTTCAGAGTTACCCAATCTACTGCCTTTATCAACTACAGCTCAGATACCTTGAATCATGTGGTCACAGACTGAGGATGGGCTCCCCCCACCCCCCGCCCCTGCCCCCACCCCCGGCATTGCCTTTGGTTCCCAATTACTATCATCAGCATTGGAAGCATTATTTAGTAAAAATTCAGCAGTCTGTGAGCCGCCATCATTAATGGACTTAAATAATTCAGACATGGATTCTCATGAATGTGATTTTATAAATGAAATATCTAAATCTGTTACGTTGAATTATGTGCAAGTAGAGTTGTGTGCATATAAAAAATAAAGATATTTTACACCATAGATAAAATAACAGAACAATTTTTTTTTTAAAGTTAAACCACTTGTGAGAATTATATAGGACATATTGAGTCATCCCAGTCTAGGAAGACTAATTTCAACTTGAAGGTGCAGATAGATAGCTGTGCACATATACAGAAATTGGTGAATGTTTTATGAACCTATTTAATTTTATTTTACATGGAAGAGAGAAAATTATTCATGCTAGAAGACAGAATAAGAATGTTGGTATTAGGAAAGTAAGAGAATTTAAGATTTGAACTTGCATTAAAATTGATGTGATCAATTTATCAAAGTTAGCTGATGTTAAGTACCTGTTGAAAATGTATTACTGAGAAATGTGTGTTTTGTGATGGATTAAGAATATTTTAGCCTACTGTTGCAAATACATACATTTTCCTCTCCCACATTGGTAAAGCCCTGACTTGTATATTCTTATCCTGCTGCCCTGATAAGGCAGGTACACACTCTACAAATACTTCTCTTCACTCACCTTCTCTGCACCACTGGGTATTGTGTTAGAGATGGAAATAGATCAGATGACCTCTTTTGATGAGCTCATATATTCATCCCTGATACATTCTGGATTCACTGTGCAAAGTCAATTCATTTTAAAAGGGCACTTACCACCACACAAGTGGGATCCTAATTAGAATAAGTTATACACTATGTATGTATAAAATGTCAAAATACACTCTACTATCATGTATATCTAAAATGAACAAATACAAAAATTTTAATAAGGGCATTTACCAAGATGCATGCACTCACTCATTCATTGATTCAGCCAACTTAGGTTTATTAAGTGCCATCTGCTTGTAAAATGAAGCCATTGAAGCATACTTATGTATGCAAGGGACAGGCAGAAAATGATTTCTCTGCCTCAGGAAACTTAGTTATCTGAGGAGATAAAGCTGTGCTGCTGAATAATTCAGTTAACAGTAAAGAGTACGGTAAAAAGCATGAAGGTACAGACCTACTGGTGAGTATCCTCTCTAAGAAATAAACCTGCCCACTCAGAAGACAGGGAGACTGACTGCAACAACCATTCTCTCTTGGTGATGAAGTTGGACAGCATAAGGCCAGATGAGGTACCTGGAGTGCTGGCCTGGTGAGTTTAGATCTTGTCCTGGAAGTATTAGTGAACTTTGGAATATTCTTTTCATCCAAGAAGAAACACGCTACATGAATGTTTTAAAAGGTTAACTTGATTATCCTAAGTATAATCAAACAAAAACCCAAGAATAACAAGGTTAGTCTTCATAAAGCATATATCCCTAAAACTTGATTTAGGAACAGGATTGTTTTATTTTTTTTTGGCAGCCGGGGTCAGGAGGAGCTAGGGATTTAACCCAGGGACACAGTGAGTTATATCCTTATAGCCCTTTTTTTTTTCTTTTTAATTTCAAGACAGGGTCCCAGTAAGTTGTTTGGGGTCTCGTTAAGTTGCTGAGGCTGGCCGCAACTTGTGATCCTCCTGTCTCAGCCTCCCAAGCCGCTGGGATTACAAGCATGCGCCATCATGCCCAGCTAGGGACAGTTTTTGAAGCTGGGTTTTATCTGTGAAATGCTAATAATTATTCCATAAAAAAGGTTTCCATGGACAGAAGCTTTTGCAGATTTCTTTAATATTTAATAGGAGGGCTGAGTGCCTTTGTCACGCTGATGTGTTACAAAACCACTAAGTGGGAATGAGGTGCATTTCCCAAGCTTATTTGATGGGATCTCTCATTTTATTTCTTCTCATCTGTTTCTCTCTGAACAAACACTTTGGGACTTGAAGTTTATACATAGGAAGAACTTATTAAACCAAAGAGAATGAAAGCAAGGTGCAAGAGAAAAGCCTGGGGAAGTAATTCTGCTGAACCCAGGAGGCCTAAACTAGAAAGGAAGGGACAAATCTGGGAATATTTTTGAGGAGACAAGGGGACACAGTGACTAGAAAATGACTGAAAATTAAGAACAAGGAAAAGGTAAATCTAATTAGTTCAGTGTCACTGACACAATCTCCCGAGAAAAAAATAGGACACATGTCATGTCTAGACTGATGGGCCAGGTCGCTGAAGACCCTGGCAGCTCTGGTGGTAGGTGTGTTCTGGGTGATGTGAATCTTGCAGCGTGATAATGGGTATAATAAAGAACCTAGAAGTGCTGCTAGGCTGAGCTTCTGGAAGCACGAAAATTGTCCCGCTAAACATAATAAAAGACATTCTAAAACCACAGCACGTAGCCTCAGCAAGTCATTTCCCCTCCCTGAACCTCATTTTTCTCATCCGAAAGCTTCCTGATTGGACTGAGTGATATCTACAATCCCTTCAGGTACTTAAAGGGGAGCTTTTCTCCAGCACCTTTGATAAATGAGGTGTCATTATAATTGTATCAGTTACCTTCCATTTAGGTGTCCTGATATATTTAGGATCCGTTGTATAATAAAACTCAAATGTCCACCACAGATACACATCCTAATTTTTAAAATCATTATAATTACATTTATCACTAAATAGAAATAGAGCCAGACTCAGAATATGTACCTTGATAATGAAAATTGTTCCTCTGAATCTTTAAGAGGGAAAAAAAATTCTTGAAGGAAATTAAAACATCATAGATCCACTTAGACACGTGGCAATGCAAAAAGAAGACAAAGATTACAAGAAAGGACATGTGAGGAAATAGGATGTCACCAGAGAACTCTTAAATTCCCGAGACTATGAGATTATCATTTCTTTTATTCCTCTGGTCCTCAAAACCTGATATTCCAGTATATACCTCTCACCATCTCAGTCCCTAAAGGAAAAATCTCCCTCCACGAGACCTGGTGTGAAGGCCACAGATAGAGAACCAGCTACTCTCTTTCAGGAGCCCATGTTCACTGCCAGCTTTGGTCCCTGGTGATGGGCTGAACCCCCCGCAGCTGCCCAGGACCCTCTTAGTGCCTGTACCTAATTTTGTATTTGTAAATTTGTATTATTTTTCTTAAAGAGTTCCACCCTGACCATGGCCAGGTATGGTGGCACATGCCTATAATCCCAACAATTCAGGAGGCTGAGGTAGGACGATTGCAAGTTCAAAGCCAGACTCAACAACTTAGTAAAGCCCTAAGCAACTTCGGGAGACCCTGTCTCAAAATAAAAAGGTCAAGGGATGTGGCTCAGTGGTAAAGCATCTCTAGTACAAAGGAAAAAAGAGCCCCTTCCCCAATCTGGACATGTCAGACCTGACCAAATCTGGAACCTTCCTCTTTTTCAGTACATGTTGTTCAGAAATAATGAAATAACTCTAGTTGTGAAAACAGTGGATGCAGCCAGGATGTACATCTTTTTGAAGCTGGGAAAGTCAGAGATGATCAGAAATTAGAGAGAGACTTACCCTGCTGCCTTTCTCCACAGTGTTGCTTTGCTTTCTGCATGTCACTCACTGACTTTAACTATTTATCTTATTTCCAGACATTATATTTTCAAATCACAAATGTAGTGCTTAGAGGGCAAGAACAGTAAACTAGGCCTATCTCTGCTTTTCAAAAAATTCCAGAAGGTGCCAAGGGATTTGTGCATGCTACTCAATCTTTAAAGGGTTTATTATCACATTTTCAAAGCTTTCATCCACCTGGCTATTCTGTGACGCTAGCCAAATGACTATTACCCACTCAGTTGAGAAATTTAATAAAATTCATCCTAAAATGTATTGTTTGTTCAACAGTTTATTTCAAAACATCATTTAGAGGCCATAAGCTTACTACATTATAAAGAAAACAGTATGATGTAGTAATTAAGAGGTGGATTCTAAAGTCAGACTGTTAAAATCCCAGCTCTGCCCCTTACTAACTGTATAAGTAGCTGCTTCACTTCTCTGTACTTGTTTTTATCGTCAATAAATCAGGTCTGATAATAAGTGTCTACTTTATAGGATTGAGTGATGGATATCAGTGGGTAAATAACACATACAAAGCACTCAGAAGTACTAGTTTGTGTGCTGTAGGTACTTTCAAGCTTTCCCCAGTGTTTTAAAAGTTTGCAACAAAGACATTGATGTTTCTCTGGATGGGTCACTAGGTTAGTTCTGGATAAAAATCTTAATATTATATTTATTGAAATAGAAA